GTTCTATGTTTACATCCTATATCAAGTTCTGTCTTGCTAAGTACAGTAGAACCCCTCTAGTCCGCCCTCGGCTAGTCCGTCACTCCAGTTAATCCGACCGTGGTTGGAGTCAAGAAACTTGTCCTGACTCGTCAGTGACTCACCATCCGTGGCGTTCTTCTGTGTTCGTTACAGTATATGTTTTACATTGTGTGTGTTTTCAACGTGCCAGGAGTGAAACATAAACACGTTACTCTTTCATTAAATGAAAAATTAGCAGTGCTACAAAGACTGGACAAAGGGAAGATTGTTTATTTTACTTTTTTCTGATAATCTGACCTTTTTTGCGTTCCGACCATACCCCCAGTCCCAAAGGTGACGGATTAGAGGGGTTCTACTGTATACTCTTTCACAATTCTTCTGATACTGAAGAACCTCAGTTAATTTTTAATGTAATATATAAAATTTTTTTAACTTTTTTTTAAATTCCTACAATTCTGCACACATCGTTTATAAAAGAACAAAACTTTATCTGAAAACAATAGTATTTTTCAACCCTTCTATCAGAAAATATAACTTGAAAAACTAGATTAAAAAATAATTTTAGTTAATAAACAAATGAGTTAAAATCAAACAGTTTATACCTAATGTTACAAACTGATTTTTTATTTGTCATTCAGCATTAAGCAATTTCCTTTAATATCAGTTTACATTAATATCAATAAATGGCATTTATAACTCCTCCCTTCAACCTTAACTACAAACAATTTTTACTTTTTTTTACACATAATTTGAAACGGTCTATTAAAAGTAAAAATTTTCTGACTAACGATTAAAACATATGTTATTCAAACGTAGAAAATATATATTACTACAGTAACTTCAAAAATGTGGTAAGAAATTGTAAAAAAAAAAGCAAGCTATATTTGGAGTAAAATACATGAAAAGAATAGAAAATGAGTGTGTTTTTGTCTTTGTGTACACAGGGGTTAACAAAAAATAACATTCTTACTAGAGCAATGTAATAACAAGTATAAATACACTTACATAAATGTAAGAAAATCTTAAAATATTGAATATTACAATCAAATAATGTAAAATACATATTAATTAAACTTATGTTTTAAAATCATGAAGAAGCTTATATGTTAAGTTGATGATGCTTATCACCTTACTATAAATTATAAAAATTGAACTGTTACATTTAGGCAACTAGAATATCATTTATTTAAGAATGTTTTCGCAAATGATATGGCCACCTTTGGCACAGTTGTGTGTGTATATTCTTATAACACACAACTGTGCCAAAGATGGCCATATCCTTTGTAAAATAATTTGGCCATACCAAAATTATTTTAGTCTGCCTCAAGCCAAAAATGAAATAATGTCATTGATAGGTAGCACTTGAGTTGAGCTAAGTAATGGATAATGTACTATATTTAAACATTTCAAAATGGTATTAGTATTGGCTACAAACTTCCCAAGTATGCAATGCATTTTGTGATGAGTCTGGTCCAATACATTGTGAATCTGGAAGCATGTACATGTAACCATAGTGCTATGCTTATCCATAGTAGATTGAATGATTTTGACCTATGCTCTCAATTAGATGTAATGACTGAGTGTGTTTGAATGGAAATATGAATAGATGCAAAATGCCAACATGTAGAAGCTCACTGGTGATGCATTTTCTCTTTCTAACACTGAAATCAAAGATTCCAATGCCAATCCTGACTACATTACCACAGCAGACGAATCTGAAAAAAACAAAAATTTTACTATGTTCTATCAATTTACTGTCTAATCAATGTGCTTCAATTTTCTGTAGTTGCTGAAGATGCTAGAGGATTCTATGACACTGTATTTGAATTGACAGGTGAAAGTGAAAAGAACTCAGATGTTGAAGTTTATGATGGTAAATTGTGAACAAGATCACTGCAATAAAATAAGATGGAAAATGTTAATCAACTCCATGCTAATCTACTACAAATCCCAATTATCACCATAATCTAAGCTCTATCTTGGTTCATATCACCTGCTGCTGAAAAATGCCTCAATGATTGCTGATCACATTTGCTAGGAATTTTCATAATGATGCTAGGTGTCTCATAGCCAATATAGATTTTTTCTATGTGTTTTTGAGACAGTCAAACAAAAAAAATTCAGTTAGTTCCAAAATACCTCAAGTTCCTGGACTGAAAGTATTTTAAGAATAATTACAAATTTGTCAAAACCAGAAAGTTATAGATTTCATCTTTATTGGTCACCAGACATCGATTATATTCACTGCAAATTTCGTTAAGCCATTTCTTGGCATCAATTTTTTGGCCCTCCTGAAAGTGGAATGGAACCATTCAATTCCTTTTCATACATTAAGAAATTAATTGTTAAGTTTTCTTATATCTTTTTAACAGTTTCAGTTATATTAGTTATGGAAAGGAACATTAATCCATACCAATGCTTACCTTGTCATACCATCTTTATTTTGTTAATGCTATGAACTTATTTCAGGAACTTTCTTCCCCTCTTCAGTATGGCACCTGGGATATTTTATTTTTCTATTTACCAATACTATTTTAGTTAAGTTCAATTATATGAGCACTAAGGTGGCTTTTCTTTTTCGCTAGACTTATTATACCATCAATAAAAAGGAGAACAAATTTTAGAAAAACTTTTTATTTCTTTGAGTATGCATTTCAGACAATTACATCCATTTTCAACTCGTGTTACAACTATATAGGGAAAATTACATACAGGTTAGCTTAATGTATACAAGTTAGCATAAAATTATTGTAATGTTACAAAATTGTAAAAGATCATTAGGAAACTTATATGGATTATGAGAAATGCATGAGTTGTGACATTAGATAAAATATGAATGGTGATTATTGATTAACAAGTATAAGTTAAAATAATGATTAAATTGGAAATGATTTACTATAAAATTTGGAAAACTGCGACCTTGGTTATGGTAAGAACAGTAGAAAAAACCCAAAAAAAAACAGAAAAAAAAACCCAAAAAAAAAGAGAAAAAAACCTGTTCTACTATAGTGTATTGGGTTTTTTCTACTGTTCTTACCATAACCAAGGTCGCAGTTTTCCAAATTTTATAGTAAATCATTTCCAATTTAATCATTATTTTAACTTATACTTGTTAATCAATAATCACCATTCATATTTTATCTAATGTCACAACTCATGCATTTCTCATAATCCATATAAGTTTCCTAATGATCTTTTACAATTTTGTAACATTACAATAATTTTATGCTAACTTGTATACATTAAGCTAACCTGTATGTAATTTTCCCTATATAGTTGTAACACGAGTTGAAAATGGATGTAATTGTCCGAAATGCATAATCAAAGAAATAAAAAGTTTTTCTAAAGTTTGTCCTCCTTATTATTGATGGTATAATAAGTCCAGTGAAAAAGAAATACCACCTTAGTGCTCATATAATTGAACACAAAACTAGACAAGAAGCATGTCTCATAATTTAGTTAAATTGTTTATTTACATTTCTTATCAACTAGGCATTTCTGCAGTAAGTTTACATAAAACAGCAGTAACTTTTTAAAATTCATTTACTTTTCTCATCCAGATTACATAAAGGAATTGTGCAAATGAACTGTCTTTTTGAAATATTCAAATGTAGTATATAGCATCCCATGCACATGTTGAAACCCCAAAATATACATATGGGTACTAACATGATTTGAATTATATTAATAAATAGAAAACTAATTATCTAAGGAAACAAACTGAAGAAGAAAAGAAAGTTGTCAAAATATATCTATGAAAATTAAATAAAAATAGTCTGAAAAGGCAAGCATTGGTGTGGTTTAATGTTCTATACCTAAAGAAATAATTCACAACATAGAAATTACAATGTGGTTCCAAAGTACAGCTATATCAGTTATCTTGATCAGTTATATCAATTCAGAACAGATTTATCTTAAGATCAAATTTCTGTTTTTCTATATAATACACTCCAAATAAAGCTATTTTAATGTTTTTTTGTATTTTCTTTGCACATTTATAAAAAGTGTAATTATGATAAAATTCAAAATTTTAAACTTAAAAAAAATCTATTTACTTTCTTTAACAGATATAAATGTATGTGTTTGAATAAGTCCCAACTGTAAAGATCAGCATGGAATAGAATATAAAACATAGGGGTGTCAAGATTAATCAGATGACAGGAAGCATTGAAAATTGAATTGCAGAAACTTAGATACAATATTAAGAAGCCAGAACTATGTTCTCCCTTTCAGTGTAAACACAGCTCTGTGTTCAATGAAGCAAGACTAAAGTTATTACAAATGCGATATCCAATCCATACAGACACAGGGTTTCCAAAAAGTACCGTGTGGTGTGAAATTTATAATGACATTAAAGTTATACATATAGTACTACTTATGAGACCTGTAAATTGTATGCAATACCATTATATAACTGGTCAATGACACTGAATGGATAACTTACAGGTTCTCATATGCAATACCATATGTATAACTTTAATGTCATTACAAGTTTCTCACTGCACAGTAACTTTTTAGATACACTGTATTATCAAATGTCCTATTCAAATGTCTGTAATGTGTTTGATTTTATAAATTCTTCTTTCATGATATTCTTTAATTAATGTAATCTGAGAATTACTTGTTAACTGAGATCAAAATGTTTTGTCTTAATACCGTTACATTCATTTATATTTAATTTTAAGAAACTAAAAAAAAAAATAAATAAATAAATAAATTCTATAAATTATCATAGACTATAAAATTAAAACAATTTAAAAGGAAAGAAATTAGAAGAAGCATTTAGTATGATGCAAAATATAGCAAATTATTATTTATTAATGAATTCTAATGTTTCCATATTTCAGAGAATCATTAGAATCTGCTATTCATAGTTGTTTTGGCATGCTATTCTGTTATATGTTATATATACTTAATTTTAATGATTTAATATTTTATATAACCTGTATATAAAATATTACTATGAATGAAATATTAACCTGTTTCATTCATTTCCACGTCTTTGATTCGACGAGTGAGATAGAAATCATTCATGAGATACTGCCGTTTCTTCTTCCTCCAACGTCTAGCGGGATATGTATACAGTTGTCCTTCTGTCTGGCCTGGCATTCGTTGCCATTTTTGCATCCATAGAGAACAGTCACTTTGGGCGACACCTGTCTGGGCATCGAGAAAAGGTAGCCTCATCTTTCTCTCCATACATAACCTTGTATTATAACTGGCAGAATTTTCAGTTGCATCTTTATAGAATGGATCACTTAAAATGCTAAAAGATAAAAAAAAAAATTATTATATTCTAATGAACTTTGATCTACTTGTCTAAATTAATAATAAATTAAATTAATACATTATAAAAATTAATAGGAGTTTTAACAAGACATTATATACAGACAGTGTCAATAAATATTTTTCTTTCACAAATAAGAAGTATACATCAAATAGCACTTACAGAAGAATAAAAAATAATCAAAACTCTAGCATAAAATGACAATTGAGTGCATTATAAACAGCACTTATAGCAGGGCTGGCCAAACAAAGAATCTACAGACCAAGTTTACAATGTCAAGTCAATAGTGTACACCATTCTTAAGAACAAGAAAGCAATAAATGCAGCAAATGTGGATAAAGGTGTGACAATGTTGACCTCTAGAAGATCACACATTATTGAGGAGGTAGAAAAACTCCTCCTAAATGAAAAGCAATTGAATGATTATATCATCTTTGAAAGAATTATTTGTGAGAAAGCCAAGCAAGCTGCATAGTGACATTAAGAAACAGGACATCACCACTCCTTACTAAAGTACAGTATATGCAATTTTTATTTTATTCTTCAGTATTTACATATTTTATTTAATGTTTTCACATTACATCACTTAAATAAATTTATTATAGATTAATTTATTCTCTTTCATCTAAATGTATATTAATGTTTCTCTTCCATTACTTACTGTAGAAAGTTTATGGATGAAGTTAGAAGACCAACTGTTTAAAATTTGGTTCATACAAACATACCTTTAGATTACAACTGTCTATTAAAGCTACAATTTATGCTTACAAACTGTGTATATCACACTGTGCAGAGAGTAACTATGCAAAATTTGGTACAAATCAATCAAAGGGTTTGCTTGTTTGTGGGGACAATACTGGGGGAAGGAGTGAGGGTCTGTGTTTTAAAGCAGCATATATTTTCGGGTAAATTCAGAAACTGTGAAAAGGATCTATAAGAGGGACATATATCAGGTACTCCAAATTCAAACTTAAGTTCCTTGGAGCAATAGAGCGATACTTTACAGTTTTGACCCACTTGCTATCAACATAGATAAATCAATACAATTGTTTAACACATGGCCAGAAATGCCCAATAGTGCAACATTTTTTAAGAAATCTACTTTAAAGAATTAATCTTGAATGATACAATTTTCTTTCAAAATAAAAAACTGTATATTGGTTGCAGTTGCATCTTAAAAAATGTTTAGTTCCGTTTTTTAATTATGAGAATTAATTAAACCCATTATCAGTTACGGGTGTGTGCACACTAGCCAGGTGAGTAGGTGAAGGGGTCAGTTCACAAGAGAAAAAAATCTGCTTCTCTGGATGGAGGCAACATTTTCACCTGTCCAACTCAAACCGACAAAGTCACTAACTCATGTACCCATATCAGGTATTTAATTAAGGGGAATGTTGCCATTTGTGCCCATTTCTCTTATAATAGCAGACTAAACTTTAATTTCTCTATAAATTAGCTAAGTAGACAATAGGTGTCTTCTTTTGCTATCCTTTTCTTCAAGTGTGTGCAAAAGGACAACAAAAGAAGACACATGTATTGTCTACTTTGCTAAATTTATTTAAATTTTGTAAATTTTAAAGTATCTAATGGGCATCTAATCTAATCTAAAGCTTTTAATAATCAGCAGTTGACTACAAATTTAATTACTTATGGATGTTACTAATACTGAATAACACATCTCATCTGAATACTTTCATTATTTTGCTTTAAATTTTTCTCATTCTGCCACTGCAATCAAATCCAACCAAGTGCGCACACATTTGAGATTCACACCACTTTGTCTGCTCTGTCCAATGCATGCATCTGCTCATGTAAGCTTATCCTTAATCTTTAAAATGCATAATGAAGATTGAATTAAAAACACAATGAAAAATTCCAAAATAATTTTAATATCAAACATTTTGGACGTATGATAATCAAATATTCAAATTTTTACATGAAAATCTTGTAAATTTTGTCAAAACACACATTGTCAAAATATTGAATGCCATTAATTCAAAGACAGAATTTGCTTAGGAAATAATGCTTGAATATATGTAAATATTTGGAAAATGTAATCTACCAAATTTTTCTGTTGTTTATATAAAGTCATATATAAAATTTATCAAATTATATAACAAAATAGCAGAATAAAAAATTTATTTAAAAATGTACACAATTGCACAGTACTAGAACTGAATGATAAGAATAAACTAACATTTTAATCCAGTAATTAATTATAATTAAAATAAATATATTTGTCTATATGTCTTCAAGTTTGAGGTTGATCTCTACTTACGAGTAACTACACATTTCGTACTTCATTCATCACAGACTATAACTTTTAAAGAAATCAATCTTTAACACCAATAACACATTTTCTAAGACGACCATCTTCTCATCAAATAGAAAGCCAAGCTTCGGGCCTAAAACAATCATAGAAATATAATTGTATGGTTGTTAAGACAGCTATAAGTTCAGAGTGATGCTCAGTTTTTGATCTGATGAGGATGCATTGGTCATACCACTGGATACTAGATGGATGCAGTTTTTGCCATCTATTATTTTCTGTTTAATAAAGTCTATATTCAATGGGTATTCGTAACTATAAATCGTTTCTTAGAACAGAAATTAAAGTCAACTATCAATAATAATAAATGAGCTATAAAAAGAGAAATATGTCAACAAAAAGCAGAAAGGGATAACTGAAGTATAGTTGCAAAAAACCAAAAAGAAAAAGTGAAGTATATCAACAGAAATTAAAAGGAACTGAAGGAAAAAACAAGGAAGGAATTTGCATAAAAGTTAAATAACCAAATAGTAAACATCTCCAAAAAGCATTGCTTATCCCTTGTTCAACAATAAATAAAGTTTCAGATTAGAATTCTTTCAGCATACAGCTTTAGCATAGCACATTAAAAGTCACAAGAAAATTAAACAAACGGAAAGAATACAGAATTTCCATTTATAGGCAAATACCAAAGATGGAAAATAATATATTTTACTTAGTTTCTGATAAAGAGAACAAAGAAAAACAAAAAAAAATGGGCACATTCCAGTATACATCAGTCTCAGGCACAACCAATGTATAGGCGAATAGTTTAATAAACTTTTGCCAAAAGGTCTTGTAAGCTAACAAGATGGCAGAAGCAAACAGCACTATATTGGCATTTGCAGCCTTATTTTGTCAAAGTATCTTTGAGTTAATACAGATGAAAAGTAAAAACGGTATTAATAATACAACTATGGAGATAACCACTTGCTCACTGTATCCGCAGCCTAACAAATGCAATGCACATCAGTCACTTAACTGACAAATTCATTGGTGAGTATCAGAATGCATTTTAGTGTTGCAGTTCACAGATGCACATTTTGATGTTTCAATATATCCAATATTTTATATATTTAATCTTTTCGTGCTATTTCTGTGTCATATTTTCTGATTAGGAGGTTTATGAGTTATTTTACATTAATTATAATCTAAACAACCAAATGTTAAATGGTACAAGTGACAAAAACCTTTCCTAAAAAAAGATAAAGCATTTCTACAATAATATTTACTACTATCAAACTTTTTAAAATTTTGCCATCTTTATTATCTGTCTGCCTTGCTAGTCCTGTTTTAGAGCTATACACTGATGTAATTAATACTTGTCTAATTAAGATTGTACTACAATCACAGACTGCTTAAAATAATCATATTAACATACTATATAATCTACAAGTTCAAAATAAAATTCAATTACATTACATTGAAAAAATTTTAAATCTTAAACCTAAATTCAAGAAATTTAATTATTTAATATAAATATAATAAACTCTTGCTTTTATGACCTTACTAGTTCCTAAAAAAACAGACATTAAGCAATCCGTTTATAAACAAATTCCAATTTCTTAAGTACGACAGTATAAATTGTGCCTTCGTTCACACACACACTTTATTTGCAGAATAATACAGAGGAAAAAAAAAAAACACAACAGTTCGTAAATCATAACAGAAAATTTATGCTGGGTAAAACAGAGAACTATAAAACAAGAAGTTATCATCATAAAGTCATATCTTACACCTAATCTCTCCTTTTCCAGTTAAAAATCTCCAAAAATTATACTAAAAAAAAAAATTGGAGTGTACTTTAACAAGATTAAAATTATAAGCTTTCCAGATTATATCACCACAAAATCAATATTATCGTAAATGACTTTGAAATTTAAATATCAGGTCACATCTATAAATATTGATTTTTAACCTTATTCTACACATTCAAAAAATAGCATGTCTGTTAAAATATGTAATATGTAAAAATGTATGTAGAAAATTACATAATTCAATTAATTTTTGTTTATATAATTTCGTTAAATAGTTTTAAGTAAAGATGAAAACCTACTTTCATTCTGGACAGTGTGTTACCAGTCATTTTAACATACAAGTTTTGCGTAGGTTGCAAGGTGCAGTCAAGAGAAAAATGACTATACTCCACACATATCAAATCAAACCAAACTGTGGTTGGCACAGCAGAATTGGGAGGTGTGCAACATCCTCCATATAGTCCAAATTTAGCCCTCCATCAGATTTTCATTTATTCGGACCTTTAAAGAAATTTTTGGTGGGGAAATGCTTTGTGGATCAGGAGGAATTGGAAGACACCATTCTGGAGTACTTCAAACAACATTACCATGAAGGGATGTTTAAACTAATGTCACACTGGGATAAATGTCTCAACATTTACAGCAATTATGTTGAGAAATAAACAAAAGTATGCAGTTTTTGTAGAATGTATTAAATATTTTCTTTATTTATAAATATTAGTGTGATTTTGGCATGTACCTTTAATATCGGACTCCCCTTATAGTATGCCAGTCATGCCCACAATGACAGCTATTATGATTACAAGAGCTGCCACTCACCATCATGCTAATCTGCTGGTTTGTCAAACTGACTTTTCTGGTGGTTGCCACACTGACAAATTAAAATTTATCAATCAGGAGAAAGCAGCTGTCAT